CCCCCCCCCCCCAATCTTTCTCACTCCATCTCTGTGTTGGAGTGCTCAGCGTCCTCTAAAAGTATGGATCTTGACCGCAGCCATTTTCCGTGGAAGAGGGAAAGGCTAAAGAGAAAGCGCTGACCCCTCTTCGCCGCAATTTTCCCCTCATCAACTTGTGAGACTTCATTAACTTCCATGGGGTAATTTCTTCTTTCAGTGCGCTTCTGAGAGGGGGGTGTTATGACGTTTTCCTCCCACCCTTCCATTCCCAGCTATTCTCTTGCCTTTATCACCCATCCTTAACTGAAAAGACTCATTCTTACTGTTCTTTGCAATAATGCTTTGCTCTCATTCTCTCAAGTGTCAGCTGTAATGTCAGAACAATTACAAGAAAAGGGAAGGTGGGCTTTTAGGAAAGTAGTGTTGCTATTCCCCTGAATTTTGAATGTGAAGGTGGTATTTTTTGCTCCACAGATAAACCGACACAACCTTTCGCTTTTTCCATAATTCAAAGCAGTGAAAACATGCACAGAAATAAAGAAACATGCACAGAAATAGGCTCTGAAGGTAACGTTTCAGTGCCTTCATCCCTCAGGAGCCCAGAATAAAACATCCACTGCTGAACCTGACTGTAGTCTGCTTGATGCTCAGTTGAGGCCTCAGTGAGACGTTGCATGATGGGAACAGTGAGTCAATGCTGCCCTCTTCAGGAACATTAGCATCACTGTATGGATGAAATGTCATTCAGATATTTGTTTTTGCCTCATGGATGTTCTGGGCTTCAGTGACAGTCGAATACAATCTGTCTATGGGTATTATACTGTAACTCATACCTATTCTTGCAGTGTGGGCATTTTCAACCCATTGTCTGTAAGCCAACACTCACTCCAATGCACCAACATTACATTTATTGTTTGAATTAATGTTATCTGTTTTACTAGATGTAAAAACATCTAGTGCGTAAACCACAAAATATGTTTTTTTCTTGGTGGCTCAAAAGTCAACGTGACAATGTGAGTTTGGTTCACTCTCACTGCTCTCATGGTAACATTTTCAGCCGCAGCAGACAGACGTTTTCATTTGAAATGCTCCGAAAAGCCACTGTACACTACCTGCTCAGCACCAAACAACAGACAGACACAGTTAGGGACGAGCTGGTGAACATAGCAGCTAGAGAGCTAGAAGAGAACAAAACAGAGCTAAAAGAGAGTGAATATTGAATTTAAATTTGCCAGGTGGACACAAACACAACTCCAAATGAGTGATAATGTTGCTCCAAGACTGCTGGATGTCTTAATAACAAGTTCTCCAAACATGTCAATGCTCCAATGTTGAATACCCATGAAGAATACCAAACGGCAAAACAGGTAGCACACACACAGGTTTCCAGGACAAAGTTGATTAATTACAATTTCACCAATTTAATTGTGGCCATGTCAAACATTCCACGTCAGCACTGGAACTTATATGACTTTGGTTCAGCACCACAAACTAAACACTGAGAGGGCGCATCCTTTCAAAGATCTAACTACGACATGTCAATGCTGTGTTTACAGCTTGTTCCAGCTGCATCCAAATGGCAAAAAAAAAAATGTGTGCATTCCATTCAGTTATAGTTTATAACAGTTATAACTTATAATATTAGTTCCACCTGTGCTGTTCCTTCTATAACAAGTCAAAATATCAGCCATTAGAAAGTTCTATGATAGCGAGACTATGATACTACTGCAGATCTGCATTTACTCAGTACACTTAAGAACAGTTTTAAGTTACTTGTACTTTAATGCTACTTGATACTTACTCCACTAGAATACAGAGGAAAATATTGTACTTTTGCCTCCACTACATTTGACTTACATACTTGTATTAACTGTATTAACATTACCTTTATGTATGAAACATATGATCAATGTGTAACGTGATGCATTGTTACATATTAAATAACCAAACAGTATAAAAAGCATTCAAAATAATTTATTTAAAATTGATTTCCTTTTCTTTTATTACAGTATACTATATAGTATAGGAATGTAGTTGTATTATATACCAAAAAGCAGTGGTTCCCAACATTTTTCCTTTCCCCTTTTCTATAGAGTAAACTGATGACCCCTGACTAAGCTACGTATTTTATGGACATTTCATATTATATTAAATGCATAACAATGACATTACAGAACATCTAATAAACTGTGCAATGAACCCAAATAGTGAACACAGTAACCACAAGAAGTTTGTGTAAAACAGTTTAAATGAATTTTGAGCAGATTATTTATTCATTTTGAGCTTTCCTGATAATTTTAGGGACATTTTTTATCAGTCTGTATCATGAATCTACTTCATTTCTTTAAAGAATCATACATACTTAATAGGTGTGACAAATTCAGTATTTTTTCTTATTGTTCTATTAGCTGTGTTAGCTGTGTGGTTCTTTCAACTGTGCACTTGTATAATGCAGGATGAGACTGTTTAGCCTGAGTCTGAGGGACCTGTGAATATAGCTTGTGTTCAGTTTACATCTTAAATAATAATCTAAACTTTAGAAATAATAATTTCATTTGGTTTTCTTCACAGAAATAAACAAACCGCTGATATATAGGCCAACCGTGTTTATCTTTTATGTTTTCTTACACCGCTTAAAATCAAAAAGCCCTCGCAAACCCCCGTAAAGATTTGGAGACCCCTAGTGGGGGTCCTGACCCCAGTTTGGGGACTACTGGCATAGTGTATGTTGTGTAGCAATGCTCAAACCATTTGTTGGCTTTTTTCCTAATATTATTATGAATAAAATGTGCACCCTATACAGCAGTATTTTGCAGTACTTTGTATAATTGAACAATTGTAGTTGATTTGATAATTGGCACCACTTTGGCCATTACATTAAAATGCAGTTTACATAATAATCCAAGGATATAACACATATAATGTATGTATAATAAACGTTTTTTATTTTAATACGTTTTTAATGATAAGTACTTACTGAAACGTCCTACTTTTTCTTAAGTGGAATTTTCAATGCAACATTTACTTGTAATTGATAATTTTCACATTGTATTATGTTCCAGTACTGTCTAAATGTGATTGTTTTTCACATAAAATTCCAATCATGCAGATGTTTCTTAGGTCACAATCACACGTGTTTCCTTTATGTAAATCAATTCGGCAAAGATAGCAGCATTGATGTGATTCATAGTAACAACCATTGAGTACTTCTTCCATCCCTGAAACGATGCAGGAGACCACCAGCAGGATCACTGCAGCCTGTCTCATATGCACTCCAGTAAGCGATGTTCATCTGTCTGTGCCGATATGTAAACTTCCCTCTTTCTCCCTTTCCTCCAAGCAGCTCTACATGATACATGAAGTGCCAGGGCCAGGCCTGGCGCAGAGACAAATGCCAACCGCTCGCTGTTCCAAATGTCAAATCTGACATGTTGTAGACATTCAATAACCATCCCTGCTGGACCAATTCAGAGCCACGCTCTTCAAACAGTCCCTGATGTCTCGTGATGAGAGTGGAGGGGGAATGGTTGGATTTGATCTGCCTCTGGGTATGATCAGATCACATAGACACCTTGCCTTGATGTCTTTCTTGCAGTGAGCCCTCTAGTGGTCAAGTTAATAACGTACACAAAGTGAGTCCTGATTATCGGCAAAGAAACAATATGAAGAGATAAACTGGAGTTAAAATAAAACAGCCCTCATGACAAATAAAAGAAAGAGTTGCCATAAACTTTCCCCAATTAAAATAATAAAAATGCTTTGGGCCTCTGTTTTCACTGCACCCTGTCCATGGTTCAGCATTGTAAATGAGCAATAAAAGCAGGCCTCACTAACTTTCACTTTACATTTTAAACTAAAATATCAGCTTTGTAGACCAGTATCACCATATTTTGTGGATAGTAGAGAACACAAGCATGAAAACTATCCACAGTACATGTGTACAGTAACACATCCATGGCACATTTTTAGCTCAATACAGAAAATGGTAAAAATGGATAATATGGCAAAATAATATTATATTGAAAATGGCTTTACAAAAGAATTTTACTAAAAAGAAAACTACAACCTGACTGATATTGGTCGGCTGATATAAGCCCATTGCATTGTTATCCAGTATGCACCGATATGACACTGGTGTCACTGCAAAGTTTATCCAGCAGAGTGCACTGTGATTTACAGTACTGTGGCTTGCAGCAGAGTAAAAGAGAAGAAGCAGCTCTCAGCAATGTCAACTATAATCGGTTGACAATGTATGTTAAATTATTTAACATGTTAAAGAATATTTAACTGAAATATTCTGTAATACAGTTATTTGTTTAAGAAAGCAGCCTTCTGAGTACCTTTGCATAGTTACATCGGTGCACAATCCACACAGAAAATGTCTACTTTCATTCCAGATGAAAACTACATTGGCCACCATATTGGTGATGTAGGAATTTTCCCCTCTAAAATTAGGATGGGTCTCAAACATCCCATATCAGTTGTACTCTGAAGAACTCCGATCAGAATTAATCACAAGTATTAATGCATTAATATTTAAACGGAAAATAAAAATATCAGCTACTTTGGTCATTAGGTTGCTGCTCCAAGCATTTCTGAATATTATTGCAATTTAAACTGAATTTCACTTTGTTTGGAAGCCATCTTTCATCCATATAATTTAGAGATTCCCAATCAAGGAATCTGTTGGAACAGTTTGGACAGCACAACCTGACTGAAATCATTCATGTGTCAAATCCACAGCAATAAATACCCGGACATACTTTTCTATGAGCATTCTGATTTATTGAAGGCACATCAGTTAGAAAGAACACAATAGTTGCGCTGGACATATACATTCATTGTCAATCACCTTTTTCCTTGAACTAAATCAATTGTGTATCACATGTTAGGGTCGCCTGGTCTACAATTTCTGGACCAAGAAAATATTCAAAAGGCATTTACTGTTTAAGGCAAAAACGTTTAGACCTTTTTATTTAAAAAACAAACAAACATTTGATTAATCGTTTACATTTTAGACAGTTGCCTTCATTGTAAGCACCCTCATGTGATCTCATTTTAATAACAGTGTGAGTTTAAAACCATAAATACATTGTACATTTTATAAATAGAAGATACAGATTATTATTTCCAAATACCCAGCCTCAGTTTTAGAATCACTACTACTAATCTACAATGCATCACATTACACAGCAATATTAAATACCATTTAAATTATCCTAAAAGATTTAAGCTCCAGTGTATAGCAATAGTGGGGGGTGTTATTTTTTACATAAGGTATAGGACTGTTCCAAAAACATTTGAGGAGGCAGGGTTAGGCCTTTGTGCCTCACACTTTAGGGGTATATGAGAATTACAGTGTTTCATATGGCTGGTTATGCAGACACGGGTTAAGTGGCGTACACCTAGACCACATCTGTGGAACCTTCCCATTATGTGCACTGGGGCAGAAAAACACTGCCAACATCTTGCACGAGCTCAACTCAAATTCCAGCAGTCTGGCAAAAACCTTCAGCCTCATTTTCTAACCGATTTTCAGACCACCGAGAAGAATTACGTCGTCTGACATTTCTTCACTTCTCTTCAAACTTCGGAAAAGACTGCTTCACAGAAGGTTAGCGAAAACCTGCGAGTTTCTCTTCCAGTCTCATTGATCCTGAACCCTCTGCCTCTTCTTCACCGCCGTCCCTTCAGCGTCCCCCATGCAAGCAACCAGAAAGTCGCGGCTCTTAAGAGCATACTGCTCAGGAAAATCCCGGAAATGACCAACATGGGGACTGGAAACAAAATCAAAACTGTCCACCGGGACGCCTTTCTGCCTCAGGGCCCCCACAAAGAACTCGATGTCCCTGTGCCTGATCACCTGGTCAGCTCTGGAGTACAGGTAGAAATGAGGCCAGGCGGGCGGACGGTCCTGCACTGCGTCGTAATGGTTCTTGTGGATGTACTTGGTGAAGGGGTACAGCACGACTCGCAACAGGAAGACAGTCACTGCAAAAAGGGCTAAGAGGATGTACCTTAACACGGGACTTATTTTGGGCCCGAGGGTGCTGGTCAGTGCACGCAGGGCCCCGCGAACGTTCCCACTACCTGGGGCACTGTCCACTACGGCCCCAATTACACACAGGGAGCTGAACTGTTTATCATTGTGCAACAACTCTACAATGTAACGGTACAGCATGAAGCCGCCATTACTGAATACGTGAAAGAAAATAGGGCTGTTCTCCACCTCATAGTCATAGAGGATCTCCAGCAGCTTCAGGGCCGTACTGCTCAGCTCCTTGTAGCCAAACGACTCCGAGATGAAGACTGTCTTCAAGGGGGCTGTGTAGCGGATGGTCACACATCCCTAAAGGTGAAGAAAGCACAGAAAGAAAGCTTAAAAAGAAGTAGAAATATGAGTTGCTGACAGGTTGGTACCACTTCTACAGTGCTGCCAAATGGACATTGGAGTAAGCAGAATGTGCTCTACTGGATTCATTTGGACCTGCTCGTTGTAGATGGAGCTGTATTTGGAGAGGTGTTTGTCTTTGCAGCCAGCCCAGCCCAGCAGGATCACCACTGGCTCCTTTGTCCCCTGCCAGTGTCTCTCTGAAAACAGACCACACGATGACAACAGCACGTTTACCAAAGCTGCGAACGGCAAGCTAAGCTAAAGTGAGCTAGCAGGCTAACGGCCAGCAGAGTGTCATCATTACCACGGCTCCGTTCAGAGGGGAGGTTAGCGTGTGTGCGCTAAGCTAAGTGAGGGTCGGACATACAGCACAATGGAAAGGATGCTCACCCGACGTCCCCGCATCTGGGAACACGATATTGTAGTCTATTTCATCGTCTGCCATTTCTGTGCTCGAGAGTGCTCAGCTGTTGTTCTCCGCCGGGGACGTTTGGTTCATTTGGCTGTTGTGGAGAACAGCGTTAGACAAGCTGCAGGGCGCTCTGAACAACCCGTTACCGAACACTACCGACAGAGAGGTCGGTGGACTGTCACTACACGGCCCCTCCCCCCTACCGGAGCCTTTCTTCTTCTTGGTGGGGACGAACAGCCGACAGCATCCAGCTAACGCCTCAATACCGCCCCCCTCTGTAGGATAGTATAATCTGTCGCTCTGTAGCTAGAATTCAATTTGAAGGGCCAGTCAAGTGTGTAACATTTAAGCAGTGTTGGGCTACTTAACTTACTCAAAAACATTTATTTATTCATTACTCTTTTAAAAAGTAATGTAATTACTTTACTTATTACTCCCTGCCAACAGTAATTAGTTACATTACTCAAATTATATTACTTTATTGCCTACCTCCCTCAAAAGCCAATTATTGGTAATTTCATGATCTTATCCCCCAAGAGTCATGACTTAATAAAATCCAGTTTTTGTCTGTTTAATAATCAAAGGTGTATAATGGAATATGTCCCAGCTGCTGAATGTTTCCATCCTCCAAACTAGTTTCCTCCACGATTACAAAAATGAATCCAAGGATTTAATTGGATTGTTGGATTTCAATTCAGGAGAGGGTGACAACAAAAGTAATATTGTAAGTAATTGTTTTTTGGAGTAGTAACTGTAATATTATTAATAGTAATGAGTTACTGCCCAACACTGCATTTAGAAGGATCTATTGGAAGAAACTGAATATAATACTCATAGGTAGTAGTGTATAATCACCTGAATTGAACTTTTGTTACTTTAGAATGAGCTGTTTTCAATTACAGTCCTCTTCCATGGAGTCCACCATGTTGAACTGCCCTGTTTCTACAGTAGCCCAGAACGGACAAACAAAACACTGCCTCTAGATACGGCCTTTCATGTTTTTTGCAACCACTCTAGTTTC